ATCTCTAAACTCTTCACACTTTCTTTTATTGTTGTTATTCTTTTACCCTAGAACCTGAAAATACTTTTTGTATCTTAAAAACAATACATTGCAATGCATGTTCTTATAGTAAGGTAAAAGTAGCTATCATATCAGCCCATTACAGTATGAGATGAGTTTAGATATTTTCTTCATTGTCCTCCTGTTTGCAATATGCACACTATCCCTCATTGCCATATTCAAAACCTGTATATTGGATCAGAAAAGGTTCAAAGTTGTTCTATTTTCTGATATTTGGTCTGGTAAGTCCAACTTCATTATTGGTGAATATGGAACATCAAATATGCTTAATTAAGATATCATCTGATTATACATTCCAGTACTTAACCAGTACCTGTAGACTGAAGACATACTCCAGGAAATTCCATCACACTTTCAATAACTGTAATCGCAGGAAACTGATATCCTGAGACAAGTAGCATGTAAAACAATTTAGATTCTAGAAATTTTAAGCTCTGTCACACATAAGTGATTGGAAAATGAAAGGTGAAACTATTTCAGTATTGCAGTATTTTCTTGAAAGTGGTTTTCATTTCAACAAAAGTTCTACGATAACTAATCTAAAACTGAAGAAGTTTTGTTTAAAGAAAATGAATGATACATGTTTCTTAATTTTACAGGCTTCTTGTTTTCTCTAATGAGGAGGTCTCGGCTGTGTCAGTACGTATTGATGACAATTTGGGCCACTGGATATCCTGTAAGCACAGCCATGGCCCACTATACACTGCAGTAGTTGATGTACATACAGACCAATGGGAGCCTCAGGTCACAGAGGAAAATTTTGTGAAGAATTTGCAGGTATGCTCTCAGTTTGAGATTGTAATTTGATATTTTTCTAGTTTCTTCCTTTTGCATGTGAAGTATGAAAGTATTGCACTTTTGGATTTAAGGTACTTGTTCTGGTATTCAGTTATCTCTTCAGTTTTTAAATTGTATGTCAAGAAGTTCTGACCTCAAAAGTCCCTCCCTATTACCAAGCTACAGAAAGCCTCAAATTTTCATCTTTCCCCAAGGGCAGTTTTGATCTTTGTTTTTTCTAGAGCTAGAATTTACACACCAGGGTATTTGTGTCTCATATTTTGCTATTATTAGTAAAAAGATAGTAATCAACCATGAGATGGATATGTAAAATATGATATTGTTAGAAGGGTGCTAGGGGAAGGGATTACAAAGCTATAGTATACTCTGTATACAAGGCTTTTTATTTTATACTTACCAGGTTCATTTACCTAAAAAGAAAGTGAGAACAGTGCTAGGAACCATTCATATGATTGGTTCATACAAAACAGTCCAAAGGGAGTAGGGGAGTACTCATGTCATATGTGATGAAAATTCTTATTTTATACTTGCAGTAAAGCCTTGCATTTGGTGTGTAAATGGTACTGAAAAAAAAAAAATTGTGGAGCTGACAGCCCCTTCACACTACTTTGCATATTACTCACTTAAAACCTCAGTTTTGTAACATATAATACCAGTGGAATGTCTGAGGTCAGGAAGAAATAAACCAATATTTTTATTAGAATGTTTTTGCAACAGGATTCAAGGTGATTATTTGAGCACAGGTTGGGGTTACTATGCATATATTACTAAAAGAATGATGACACCTGTATTTTGCAGATTTTGATTGGCAATACTTCAGGAAGTAAAACACTTCTAAGGATTGGTACAGAGGGAGCTGGCTTTGCTCAACCACATCCGTCTCGCATCGGTACCATCATGCTTACAATTAATCTTCATGATGCGGTAAGGCCATTTCTCATCATAGGGTAATTGTATAACAGTAGAGTGAGCTGTCTTGGTATGTAGTTAACTTTGATGGTATTTTTTTTATGATAGGAATAGCCAATGTGAAATATATATATATTTTTGGATTTATTCTCTTGATTAGTGTACTATAGCTAATGATTTTGAATAAACTTTGCCTCTTTGACCAGGATCCTTGCTGCTTTTATAGGAAATATACATAATTTGTCTTAGCCTTTATGGAACCACTTTATTTATTCAATCATTGTGACCTCTGAGCAGTTTTATTTTGCATTAAGATGTCTCAGATTGACGTAAGAATTAGTCATGCTCAACAGAATGTGACATGGTTATTATGCATTGCAAGAAATCTAAAAATAAGTGTTCAAAGGTCATAGTATTACTGAGAAATATAGCAATGAAATTTATATGCTCAGATTATCAGTAGCTGTTGGTCTTTCGCACTCCTGTTAGGTTTTTGTGGATTATATCTCACAAACAGTAAACAGATGTGAAAATTATATTGTTCCGTGTTAGACTTTCCTGTAATGTCAGTGATTTTTTAGTTCATGATCATCTATGTGACGGGTGTTGGCTTGTGTGCTGTCCTCCTCTTACTAGGAAAGTATCAAGGTATGTACTGTGATATATGTTAAACAAAGGAAGGAGAGAGAGAGAGAGAGAGAGAGAGAGAGAGAGAGAGAGAGAGAGAGAGAGAGAGAGAGAGAGAGAGAGACTGAGAGACTGAGACTGAGAGACTGAAACTGAGAGTTTTGTTTGTTTGATTGTTTGTATAAGGTCATTTTTTTGTCTGTTTACATTTGTTTCAAAAAGATACCGGAGTTCAGGGAATGCTTCATTTCTAGTGAGAATATTTAAAGCTGAACCTGTGACTGATTCAGGCCTTACTTCAGAAATTGTTGATGGTTATGATGAAAATTATGTTAATTGCAAATGGGGCTGTAAGAGTTTATCTCTCTTCTATTTATGAATATGCACACACTGTGAGGAGCAAACACACACACGCACACACACACACACACACACACACACACACACACACACACACACACACACACACACACACACACACACACACACACACACACACACACACACACTCTCTCTCTCTCTCTCTCTCTCTCTCTCTCTCTCTCTCTCTCTCTCTCTCTCTCTCTCTCTGTCTCTCTCTCTCTCTCTCTCTCTCTCTCTCTCTCTCTCTCTCTCTCTCTCTCTCTCTCTCTCTCTCTCTCTCTCTCTCTCTCTCTCTCTCTCCCCTCCTCCCTTCCTCCCTCCCTTCCTCCCTCCCTCCTCCCTCCCTCCCTCCCTCCCTCTCCCTCTCCTCTCTCTCTCTCTCTCTCTCTCTCTCTCTCTCTCTCTCTCTCCTCTCTCCTCTCCCTCACCCCACTCCCCCTCTCCCCTCTCCCCTCTCCCTCCCCCTCCCCCTCCCTCACACACACACACACACACACACACACACACACACACACACACACACACACACACACACACACACACACACACACACACAAATTGGTGTACCACCCATTATTATGCTACAGTTCTCTGTCTTTATGTGATTGTATATGCTTCATGTAATATTGATTAAACTATAAACACTTATTTTCATTCTATTTTGTAGAATTGCAATGATTTTTGTTAGAAACATTTTTAAGTAATATGCAAACAGATTTGGTGAGTATGCAGACTTTTTTCACATCTGTGGATATTAGCAACATAGATGAAGTCTGTTTGCGATTAATGTATTTAAAATTGTGGTTCACGACTGAAAAATCACAGACCAGCATTGGTATTGTGTTCAGACCTTTTTTGGTTCTTCATGTCTGAGAATTTGGTAATTAATTGTAAAATCCATATGTCACTATGTGAATTAGCCATCTACTGTTGTAAGATATTCTTATTCAGTTTTTTTCAAAGCATTATTAATTTTGAAGCTTCAGGATTAGTAACAAAAAAATTGTCATGGTATATGTGATCAGTGATCTCAAATATCCTTCTCAGATATCCTTAATCATAATGTAGTACAGATGGTGAGAAATGAAGGCCATATTAATCTAACTTGAGTGTAGTAAAGTAAAAAGTTGTATATAAATGGCTAAACTTTCTATAAAACTACCTGGACTTTATCACTTCCTGTAGATATATATTTCTTCTCTCTTTTTCGACAGTCTTTTGTCAGCCGGTAATTCCAAAGAAGTTGATGTGTGCTGCATCAGGCCTGGCACACAATCATGTTGTGTTTGTCCATCTGCTTATCTTCCTTTTTTATCCTCTCATTGGTAAGTTTCTCTAATTCTACATTTAGCAAGTGAAAAGGTTTTTCATCTGTGATACTTACCTGCTAGCTGTTTTATTTTATTATATGAGAAATCATTGGTTGCTTTTCTTTCCAGGACCGTGGTATATTGGACGCCTTGCTGGGGATAAATATGGTGTTGTGTTCATGTGGGGAATTTTTGTGGACTCCTCTGCATTACCTGGAGAATTAACATATCCTGATGCCTTTTTCCTGGTAAGTTATTATGCGTATTTTGCATGCTATGTGAATTTTTTGCCATAGGTGTGGGAGAACTCTGGGTTTATAGTAGATAGTTATTGTAGATTGTGTGTTTCTTGTTCATATCTTCAAAGTTTGATGTGTTCAACAGAGAAGGAATTTCTTAGTTTCCCTTTAAATAGAATAGGTTTTCTTTCTTTTGTAGGTATTACCATAAAAAAGTGTTATAGTTATCAAATGTCAACAGTCCAGTGTACAGTAGTCCTTTGAACTCTGCTTGTATAGCATATTTTCTAAGAAGAATAAAATTCAATTATTGAATATTAGCAAAAGCAACTTTATCATAAAGTTCATTACCATTGTCTCATTCAAATTAATGGAGATATTGTTTGATCTCTGAGTTGTCATTTTTTGCAATGTATCATATAAAAAAAAAAAAGAGGAAGGACTCTGAAACTTTAAAAATTAATTGTGTTTCTCTAGTTTTCTTTCTTAATAGATTATTTCCTACTAAATGTTTTTGTTGGTTAATTAAGATAAAGGTGAAGGGATTTTCTTGTGTGGAATTAAGTTTGAATATATATTATCAGGTGATATATAATAATTTTCTGCACGTGATATAGACTTATTTGGTGTTTTATTGTAAGTTGATTATGCAGTGTACATATGCAAGAGTATAATGAACTTTTTCTTTGTACAT